TCGCATGAAGGGTGCGCTGCATCCTGCTAAGGGTTTTCGGCATCTTGTGCTTACTTCCTTGCGTACGGATTACAGCTGCGTATGACTTAATTTACTTTGTGGTGCTTTCACTTCCAGAGACAGTTAAAGGCACTGTGTAACTGCGTCGAGGGTGCTTGACCATTTGACAGAACGTGGTGCGGTCTTCCCCCTTGCACGGAGTGAGGCTTCTCCACCCCGCACAACATGATCCACTCGACCACCGTTATGGTCACCGCCAAAGCAGAACAGAGGAACAAAACAACAACGGTGACCTGGTTGCCGAGCTCACGAAGTGAATTGGCTTGTGATACAACGTCGTTGCCAAGCGACGAAAACCCAACCCCGATGGCAAACACCAACCCCGAGGGGGGGGGTACAACGAAGGGTGAAGCTAAAGGCGGCACCACTCCTCTATCCGTAGAGGTAGCTAGTTGTGCTGTTGGTCAGCACAAACATGTGTATCATCCCGTTTTCCACCTGAAACCTCGTTTCAGATGGACTGCAATTTCAATAGTTTCGCGATGCTATGTATGGTAACGGTGTGCACGAGGTAGTTCATCTCACGCACTGCATAACAGGACATGAAAGCCGACCGCGGGACGGGAGGGGTATATTCTCTACGTGGCCTCAAATTTGGCGGCGACGAGTACAGCACGCAGAAGGCCGCGGCCGAAGACCGGAGAACAACAGAAGAGGTGAACTACCGCGTGTACACCGTTACCATACATCGTAACGCGAAACTACTGAAACTCCAGTCCATCCGAAACGAGGTTTCGGTGAGGAGACAACAGGCTCAATTTAATTTGAAAGCGAAAATTAATGCAGAGTCGTCGGTACTGCTGAGCCAATAAACAAGTATGTGTGGGCACGCGTGCACTCAGCAAGACTAGTTGGCATTCCAGACTTGAACAAACAAGCGAGCCCTTACCGATCCCAATACCTTCTTCGTGGGGGTGCTTGCCACGCTCTTGCCGTGGCGAGGGGACCCTTGCTCCAGGCTGTCCCTGAGGGCCCCTAGGACCCCTTGGTCGAGCCAATGGTCGAATTGGAAGCGTGTTGCCTCTTTATGGCTGTGAATGACGTCGAAATATAGCAGCACATAGACGAAGAAGGTGCATGTTTTCATGGACAAACAACTGCTGCTGTGTTATGCTGGTGCAGCAGTCAGTGTGTGTGTGTCGGTAGGTTAGCATTCCGACCAATGTGGTTGCAACTCTCACAGTAGCTAAGACTAGCTGGGGACCTGATACATCGATGCTGACGAAGAGAATTACTGCTTCATGGCTTCTGGCACAGATATTTCCATAATACCTTTCGTTTTTTCATCACATTCAATCAGCGCGCACCGCATTTCTGCCAAGTAGGTGCCACGCGGGAAATATACAGAAGTTGGTATTGGTGACAACATGCCGAGACATTCAACAGATCGTGTTGAAGTTTGGTGAAGATTTCACTTGGTGAAGATTTCAACAAAGAGGGCTAGAAGAAAGGGGGGCCCACAGCCAGGACTCAACAATGAATGTGGACGTTGGAGGGAATCATGATGCAGTCAACTTACTTCTTTGCCGAGACCCTGTTCGCCTTGCCCCTCGTCGCCTCATCGGCCTTGTTCCAGTCAAAGATATAGTATTCCACATCATTCGCACCAGCGGTCGTACAGTTGCGCTGGGATTTTGACGCCTTTGTCCTAGCAACATTGAGAACGGGATGAGGAACGACCAAGTACGGGGGGGGGATACGGGGAAACTCGAGGTTAAAGTTGATGATACGCAAAGTGCTGTACAAGGAACGCCACTTTGCGCTAGATTTTGCTTCACGACAAGTCGTCAAGTCAGGTTCTTCGATAACTCCTTGCGCCTACTTGTAGATTTACTAGCAGAATCAACACCAACAACACGTTTCCACGACTAGCAGAGGGAGAAGAAGGGCGGGGAGTGGTGTACAAGTACGGGGAGCAGGCATGGGGGAGGGGGGGAAACCACAGACATGTAATATCGGAGTGGGCCGTACGCACGGGAGGCAAAGGGCTGGTGGTTGTTCCCTGCTAGGTTAGGAGGGGTCCACCACCATCCGAAGCTGAGTCCCAGCAATCGCAGACATGATAAATCGGAGTAGGCCGTACGCAAGGGAGGAAAAGGGGTGGTGGTTGTTCCCTGCCAGGTTTTGGAGGGGTCCACCACCATAAGGAGCTGAGTCAAGTGTGTTCGCCGACAACGCGCCATTTCACAAACAATTACCAGTTGTCAAGGTTGATTTTCTGGGTCGGACTGCTATGACAGCGATACAGTACGCCTTGCGTCATGTTCAAGTTGTCAGGTAGCACCGCCGTTTCATGTACAACCGCAAAAACGCAGACGGGAAGAGTGACATTTGAAGCATTTTTTCTGCAGATTGGTGGGGTCTCGCCCGTTCGACGCTATTCTATCCTCATGTACCCTGGGCGAACCCGTCTACAGCACGACGACAGCAGGGAGTAGATGAGCTATGACAAGGCTTATGTTTGATTCTGCAATTACATGTACGAGTAGACGTAACAATGAGTTATCGAAGAACCTGGTTTGACGACATCTCGTGAAGCCAAAATCTAGCGCAATTCCAAGCACAACATTTGCGTGTCATCAATACAACCTCTTTCCCGCGCTCCCCCCCCGTAACTCGTCGTACCTTGTTCCTGTCTCAACTTTTCGAGGGCAATGGCGGCGAAACGCGTCAAGCGAAACTTCACGGCCGATAGTCCGAAAAGCGGATATATAACCTTCGACTGGAACAAGGCCAACGAGGCCAAGAGAGGCAAGGCTACGAGGGGCTCGGCTGCCTTGCCCCTGTTAGCCTCGCTGGTCTTGTTCCAGTTGAAGATGCAGTATTCGACTTTGGGACCATCGGCCGTCCAGTGGTGCTCGACGGATTTCGACGCCATTGCCCTAGCAAAGTTGAGAAAGGAATACGGTACGACGAGTTGTGGGGAGGGAGCGTGGGAAACCTCGAGGGTGAATTTGATGATACGCCAACGCTGTGCTACATAGGAACACGCCACTTTGCGCTAGATTTTGCTTCAAGAAAGTCGTCAAACCAGGTTCTTCTATAACTCCGCGTGCGCCTTCTTGTAGATTTATTTACATGCAGAATCAACGCCAACGGCGCGTTTACACGACTAGTAGAGGGGGAAGGGGCGACAACTGTGTACAAGTGCGGGGAGCAGGCAGGGGGGAGTGGGAAAAACAGGCATGCAAATCCATCGGAGTGGGCGGTAGGCAAGGGAGGCCAAGAATGGTGGTTGTTCCCTACCAGGTTTAGGAGGGGTCCACCACCAATTGGAGTTGAGCCACGGCAGCAACAAACTGCTGTGTTCGCCCACAACGTGTCATTTCACAAACAATAACTATGACGGCGATGACAACAGTGCTCCGCTCGCGTCACGTTTGTGTTCTCAGGAAGCGCCGCCGTTCCTGCACAACCGCAACAACGCAGGCGGGAAGAGTGACACTACTATCCGGCCTGCCGAAAGCAAACAGTTCGAAGAAATGATGACAATCATGCAGATGATCATTATTTGCACAAGGTGTGATTTTCGGCGGGTGGGTCTGATACAGTGCAAAGTAGATCTTGGTTTATGGGAAGGCGTTCCAAAGCCTCACACTTACCAGAACGCCTCTTGTTCCTGCAGACTAGACGGGCGTTCGCCCGGGCGATCAAATGACGCCGACGCACCAGACTCCATCTGCAGAAAAAATGTTTCAAAGTGGGGGAAAGGGGTACAGTCGTTCCTCGATTAAGGGCACGATTTTATGGACGCTCCCCGGGTGAAGAACATTATGCACCCGCACGTGTGTGTGTGTGTTGATTGTAAGCATCCACCACGATAACCGGCAGACCAATGAGAAATCGTCAGTGTGGGTAAAATCAAGGTCCCGGAAGGGGGCCAAAGTTTTAAAAATGCGCAGTGCGCTAAACGCGAGAGCCAATCAATATGACTCTCTCTATTCTCTTTCACAGAGCACACATTGCGAGGTGGAAGGCAGTAGCAGCAGCAGCAGTAGTAGACTGATGGACTGACGTGGAATCGCTTTGCACTGGAGCCTCCAGTCGCATCGGCAATGAGCGGTGTCATGAACCAAGATTTGGCACCACCATCACCCGAACCTGGACCTGCACCACGATGCCAAACGGACGTACGGTATTCATGTCCCCTCTGCATCAGCGAAGGATCAACGAACCTGACGGCGAGGAATCTGGCTACACACCAAAATCGTCAGCATAAAGGTCGAGGAAAGGAGCTACTACTCAATTTGTCGCCTCCTGGATCCTTGCGCTCGAGCAGCCAAGCACCTGGTTACGCCGCATGTGGCACATGCGGCGACCTTTTCTCTCCACGCACCAAGCATTGTTGCGAACCAGGTACTACATCGTCTCCATCTCTCTCTGGGTCGTTGCAGC